TTCGACCCGCCCGACGTGGGCGGCTCCAACTGATTGGGGGTAAGAGGCACCTTGGTCGGCGGGGCCGGCTCGGGGCTGCCCGGAGCCCTCTTGGTCCATGGCAGGGCCACCGACAGCTTGGAGCCGAGGAGGCTCGTCGGGGGCTCCGCCTTGGCAGCCGCTGGCCTGGGCGGCGCGTGCACCCCCCTCCGCGGTGACCCCGTCGGCGGCACGAGCCCCTTCCTGCGGGGCCGCACCAGCATCGCCGGCAGAGCACATGCCTACCGACGGGGCCACCGCAGCTTCGGCTGAAGCTGAAAACCGCGGCGGGGCTCCAGCCGCAGGAGGCACGGCAACGGGCGGTGCACTTCCGAAGCGCAACATTGCTGCCGCTTCCTCGCGCACGCTCCGATTGAAGCGCGAGCGGCGGCTCCCTTGGACAGGGGCCCCAGAAGCGGCCTCTGAAGCACCAGAAAGGGCGTCCGTAGACGAGGCAGCTGCACCAGCATGGGCTGGAGCGTGAGCGGCACGGCAGCTACCATCGACGGCCCGACGACCCCGCCGTCCTCCACGCCGAGTGCGGACCCGACGAACTCGTCGGAGCCTGAAGGCGGGGAGTGCGGCAGCGCTGTTGGTGGAGGCCGAGCGGCGTCGGGGCCGCGCTGGAGTGGCAGTGACTGCGGCGACGCCTTCATCCGAGGAGCCCGCGGCGAAAGCGGCCCCTCGGACAGAGCGGAACGCAGGGACCGCATCCCGGGGCGTCGCGGCCGCCGCGGACGAGCCCGCTCCTGACGTCCCACCGGCGGCACGAACCCCTCCCTGCGGGGCCGTAACAGCATCGCTGGAGGGGCGCATGCCTACCAGTGGTGACGGAGAAGGGCTCAGACCACGAGGGTCGGCCCGCAGGCGCTCGCGAGCGCGAGCAGGGATCGACGCGGCGAGGCCCTGGATCCGATCGCACGAGAGGCGTCGGGGCCGCGCTGGAGTGGCAACGGCTGCGGCGGCGCATTCGCCCGAGGAGCCCGTGGCGAAAGCGGCCCCTCGGACAGAGCAGAACGCAGGGACCGCATCCCGGGGCGTCGCGGCCGCCGTGGACGAGCCCGCTCCTGACTTCCCACCGGCGGCACGAACCCCTCCCTGCGGGGCCGTAACAGCATCGCTGGAAGGGCGCATGCCTACCAGTGGTGACGGAGAAGAGCTCAGACCACGAGGGTCGGCCAGCAGGCGCTCGCGAGCGCGAGCAGGGATCGACGCGGCGAGGCCCTGGATCCGATCGCACGAGAGGCGTCGGGGCCGCGCTGGAATGGCTGCGGCTGCGGCGACGCCTTCACCCGAGGAGCCCGCGGCGGAGCCGACGAGGCCTGGAGTTGACTCCGCTGCTTGAGTGCCCGCTGCGTTACAAGTGCAAGCGCCCCGAGGCGTAGGGATCGCAGCTTCGGTCGAGGCTGTGCGGACGGGCGTTCCTGGCGCGTCCACCACGCTACCGATGGCAGCGGGCGCCCTCGCAGTGGTGGGACTGATCGCAAGCGAAACTGCGCGCACCGCAGAGGGTCCCCCGAACATCGCCGGGGGCCCGCCATTGGCGAGTCTGGGAGCAGCATCCGGGTCCGAAGTGCTCGAGGCGACCCCCCGCCCACCGACCCCCGGCGTGGCGGCGAGGGGGGGCGTCAAGGATGACTCGCGAGCAACCGCTGCGCGGGCCGCCCAGGATGTACTGGCGGTGGCGCCTGGCTCCAATGCAACCGCCACATCGTGGCGCGGCGGGCCGATCGGGGGCGTGGGTGGGCCCCCGCTTAGCCCGAGCGACTGCGAAATGTCAAGGAAGCTTGAACGGGCGGCACCGAGCGCAGGAGGTTGCGCCGGAGGCGGGGGCGGGGTCCGCAAGAACGGGATCACGGTTCGCCCCGAATCGGAGGCCCACAGGTGGGTCCCGGCACTAAGCATGGGGACCCCCACCTCGACAACGGTCGAGCAGGGATGACGCGACGGCGGCATCCGCACGCCCGCCTCCAAACCGGTGAGGTCCAGAGGCGGACCCGCACACCAGGCCTCGGGACCCGACAGCGCCTCCAGCCCAGGTGGTGGGCGGTGACACCGAGCCGTCGAGGTACCACCTGGCGTAGCGACCAGGTGAATATTGCTGCCAAGCGCCGGAGTCCCAACCAGCGCAGCGGTCGCGCAGACGTGCGTCGACGGCGGCGCCACGGCGCTGGACTCCAGGCTGGTGAGGCCCAGAGGAGGCTGAATGGGTGACAGTGGGTGCTCCAACCCTTCAGGTGCGCTCGCCAGCAAGGCGACCGGCTCGAACGACGAAGGCAAGACCGCCGCATGGGCACCTGCGATCTGATGGGCCGCGTTAGACGGCCTCCGTGTGTCCGCTGCACACGCGGGGCCCCGGGTGAGCCGCGGCGCTGCGAGGTAGGGGGGGGAAGGGGCGAGGAGGTGAAGGTTAGCAGGATTCCCCTCATCCGTCTCCCCCACCCTTCTTGCGGTTACCTTCGCGCGCCGCGCCTCTACGTCTTCGATCCGACCGGCACGGAGCGGCGGGCACTGAGGGTTGCGCGGCGGCTGACGTCTGGCACGGGCCGGCGGGCACTGAGGGTTGCGCGGCGGCTGGCGTCCACTGGCGAGTGCGGGCTGAGGCGGTGCAACTCGCGAGGCACCCGAATCTAATGCGTCCTCCTCCTCGTCCTCCTCCCTGCCCGCACCCCCCGTATACGGAGAAGAAAGGGGGAGGGGAAAGGAGAGGAGTGTTTGGAGGAGCTCAGCCGCTGGCGCCGTAGGGCACGACGCCATGACGACAGGCGCCTAAGGCTAGGCCGCCTGGTGGGCGCCCCCCCCAGCAGGGAAAGGGGCCCGCTAGGGAAACTGGCGGGAGCCAGTGCAAAGTACCGCGGGCGCACGCTGCCAGGGAGCAGCGGCGCCCGAGCGGAAAGGGTGAACCTTTTCCGCCGCCGACAGCCGCGGGAGGCGGTCGGCCGCACCCCGCGCGAGCTCGGTCCGGCGGGGCAAAGGTGCGAGCCCCGCCCAGTCCGAGCGCGCAGGAAGCGCCGGGACAACCGCCTTTGGCGGCGTCCCGCGTGTAGCCCAAGAGGAAGAACACCGCCACGTAGAAGTCGAAGAGACCTGCGCGGCGGTGGCGGGCGCGGGCCCCTCGGCGCCTCGGCCGCGCGCGCGGCGGGGCGGGGAGGGGGGCGAGCGCCGCAAGCTTAGGGCCGAGAAGCTGCAGACGACTGCAATCAGCGGGCGCGATGGGGATAAGAAGGAGCATGTGGAGGAGGAGGTCGAGCGTGCCCAAGGGGTTCACCCATCATCAATACGCCTCACCTCACCTCTGGGCCCACGAACTGTATATGGGGACCCAGGAGAGGCAGCCGACTCGCGGCTCGGATGGACGAGGCCCGCACACGAGCACTACCGAATTGCGAGTCGAGACGGTGCGCATAGAAATATGCAACCACAGAACTGGAATTCAACGGACCTTCGGCACCAGGAACAAGGCCGAGGCGACGCGACGTGTCAGCTGGCACACCTCGGGAGAGCACGCTACGGACAAGGGCCTCCAAAGGCCTGCGCGCGAGGAGGTAGTGCGACACGGAGTCATCGCCGCCAACGCAACCCCAGATGCATCCACACGCCGTCCATAGCATAGGCCCCGAAGTCGTCCAACCTCCGAGCCACGTCTTCAAACGCGCCGAG